TCGGAAAATGAAGATTTTTTTTTATATTTCTTTTGTTTTATTTCATATATTTTCTTAGTTTTCTTTCATATTTTTTTAGGGTTCTTTATTTACGATTTCATTTTATATTTAAGCGGTCTTGTTTTTTAGCGTATAAAAATTTACTTATTATTTTTTGTTAGTTATTTATTGTTTTATTTTTTAGTTATTTAATTATTTTTAAATAGTGACATCTAATTTTTTATAGTGTTATAATTTTTGTTTTTATTTTCGTTTTAAGCATTTATTATGTTTTATTCTACCGTGTATTATTATTCCTTTTTTTTTTTCTTTATTTATTATTTTTAATTTATGTTGCTCTTTTCTTGTTGTTGATGTTGTTTTTTGTTTTTATTGCCAAATGAACTTAACGAAAATTTTTTTTTTGCTTGTAATGTTTGTTGTAACTTTTGTTTTGCTTTGATTTTCTAAGTATTTTTCTTTTTTGCATTTTATTTGTTTACTTTGTCATACTATTTGCAATATATTTCGGTTATTATATTATAAAAAAAATATATTTAATAAATCTTTATAATTTTTTTTAGCAGTGGTTGTTTTTATGTCATCGTTAGTTGTTACGTTTTGTCAGTTAATTACTGTTTGTAACTGTAACTTTGTATGTAAAAACGATTGTTGTGGCAAAAATTTTACTGATTTATTTAAATTATTTTAATTAATGTATTATTATTATTGTTATTATTGCTATTATTATTATTATTATTATTATTATTATTATTGTTATTGTAATTATTACTATTGCTATTATTACTATTATTATTATCTTTTTTATACTTGATAAGAGCTTGATGCAGTACCGATAAGTTAAGTTTTATTTTTTTTTTAGTTTAAATAACCGATCCTTGTTCCGCTCTTCGAGTTGCTGCTGTTGTATTTTTTTTTTTGTTTAGTTTTTTTATATTATTATTTTTTTTTTTTTGTAATTTTTGTTATTTTGTATTTCTCTCTCAGCTTGCTCAACTATTATTTAATATCTAATGGCTAGTTACAACAAATTATCTCTGACCGATTTTAATACGAGAGTGGATGAGATTTATGAGTTTTATGAGCTTTATGAGTTTCCCCCTCGGTACGATCTTGAAATAGGTCGTAAAAAGCTGGAGGACAATCTCTAGTTATAATAGAACAAACAAGTTTAGCTACATGCTATTATAAATAATAATGTTAATAATCATAATAAAAATAAAATAAGAAGTTATTAGGTAAGTTTCTGAAGGATTTCTAGAAAAAAATAGGTCATTTCGTATTTAATTAAAAGTTTGTACTTTCTGAAGACTTTCTAGAAAAAAATAAGTCTTATATATCTTTTTCATTATTTTAAATATTTTTTTTAATTTTACAATTTATTGAAATTTTACTGATGTGAAACTTTCTTCGAGAATCGAATACCAAAAACTTTTTTTGAGTATCGAATATCGAAAACTTTTCTCGAGTATCGAATATCGAAAACTTTCTTCGACTAATATAAAAGGTATTGCGCAATTAAAAATAGCTTTCTTCGAATAATATTAAAGGTATTACGCATTTAAAGTAAATTTTACTTTTTTCAAATAATATAAAAGGTATTACGTATTAAAAAATAACTTTGGACTTCTTTATCAAACTCAATTTATATCGTTTTGAAGTTATGTGAACTTTTAAATTTAATTTTCTCAAAAGTGCCATTTTGGGTTGTTGTTCCGAACAAAAGCTGTATCTTGGTCAAAAATAAAAAACAAAAATCAAGTTTCTTTTTGTTTCTTTTTTTTTATTTCTATTATGCAGAAAATCCTTATATTGTTAGCTTTTAAAAAACGTCTACATTCAAAAATTAAATTCTTTTTTTTTCCTGCAATTTATTTAACCGCTGTCAATATATAGTAGCGCATTCGTGAATATAACAAAACCCTTTTACAAAATATTTGTGTACAATAATTTTTTTTTTCATTTAACATAAATAATCCCACATTGGTTTTCCCACCCCATATTGCCATAACAGTTTTATCTATGATTATAAACCATTTCTTCTAAAGACTTTATACTAAAAATTTTTTTTTTTAACTTTTTAGGTTTTACTTCTTTATTTTTTTCAGTTTGATTAAGGGACGCCATATTAAATTTATGAGTAATCATTTTAGAGAGAGTAACAACCTTAGAGAAAGTAACCATCTTAGAGAGATCCTTTTCGTTTTGGTTTTGTAACCAATTCCTTATGTGTAATTTTATTCTTATTAGTCTGATAAAAAATATATATATGTTAAAGCATCGAAGTTTCTATTTTAGAAATTTAGTTTCATAGCAGTTATCATAAATGTCATTGTAGCAGTCATCATAGATTCGGTACGAAAATGACTATAGCAGCATTTAAAAAAAAATAAACTTGCATATTATCCAGGACTTTAACTTTGAGCTGGATTAAAAGAAAGCTAGGGGAATATATCCACGGGCCCCGCAGTTTTAGGGGCCCCGATTCAAAACAAATAAAATTTTTTAAAGAAACTCTGAAAATTCAATTTTTTATTAATAGCATGAAAAGGAAGGCCCTTTCAAAATAGCTTTAGGCCCCAAAAAGTCCTTATAACTACCGTACATACCATACGTGTGATAGCATTTTTATAAAGCCAGGGGGTAGTAAATATTTACTTATTTTAATATTGAATACTTATTAACTCATTTAAAGCTTGTTTTAATATTACTTTGTAAATATGTTGTAAATATGTTGTAAATCATAAAAGATACCAATTGAATTAAAATTAATGTTTGCAAAAAAAAAAAAAAAAAAAATCGAAATAAAATTAATTTAATTTGTGTTAATAACTTAACTTTTTTAAAAAACAGCTTTAAAAAAAAATAAATATTTAAATATATCCTTTTATAATTGAGAATAAAGCAGACATTTTTTTTAGTAAAGTTTTTATTTATTTTTTAATACTATTATTCGTTTTATCTAATAAATTATATCGACAAACAGAAAGTTGAACCAGATTTATTTTTAATCATTTAATTTAATATTAATCGTGTTTTTCGATTTTATCAGTGAAAAAATTATCATCAACAACAAGAAACAAGCAAAAAGCTATTTACTATAAATAACTTATTTAACAATGAGCGGAGTTATGTAGTTTTAAATACTTTATGAGTTTTGCTTTAAATTTGAGTTACATTTGATGTTTTTTAATGATGTAGTTTAAACATTTTTTAATGGACTAACAATAAAGAATTGAAAAACATTTAAACGACGAACGTTATAACGGCGTTTTAACTGCGAAATTTAATGAATTACTTACAGTGTCGTAGTGAAGCGCCTGCGGCAAAAATAGCTAAAAGGCGCCTTTTTATTGTAAAAAAAATTTTTTTAAAGAAAAATGGTTTAAAATAAACTAGTTTTTTTTTTTTTGCTCTTTTTTTTTTTTTGACATCTCTTTCATTGTTCGGACCAGGATTCCAGGGTTCTGCGCCTGAACTCTAACCACGCCTTTATTTTTACTATTTTTACTATAAATTTAAACTAATAATCGAAATTCTTATAATTAATTCATTAAATTTCGCTGTTGAAACGTTTTATTAATATAACTAAACAGATTTTTTTCTTACTAATACGAATTTCTTTAAAAACCAACTTTTTATTATTCTATTGCACGGTAAAACTGATCAATCATAAAATATGTTTTAAGTTTTCAATCTTTAATTTTTAAGTGTTTTTTTTTTTTTGTTTTTTTTTTTTTCAATTTAATCAATTTTCACTTTTTCTAACTTTTACCAACAATCATAACAATCTTTTAAATTTAAATAAAGTTTGTACATTTAAGTTTTTAACTTTTATAAATAAATGTCATTGGAAAACAGTTATCGTGACCATCTTCTCAATCTTATACTTTTTTTTTTCCGAATTTGTATTTAAGACTGATTCTGAATTTGAAAAGTTCTAAACTTGTAAATTCCGAATTTGTGTTTAATGTAGACTGATTCTGAATGTTAAAATTTCTAAAATGTAGTTTTCGAGAAAATAAAATTATATAAATAAATTACATTGTGTGAGATAAAACAATAATTTAAAAATTGTTTTTAGTAACTTGCATAATGCATAAATAATAAATTGTATAAAAAAATATGATACATTTTATATACGTACAGACAATCATACTCGCATTTACATATGTATATAAACAATAGCATAAAATCAGAAAAAATGCCTCCCCACAAAATTTTAATTGCTAATCTGCGCTTCCTTTCTACCCCCCCTTCCCCCCTCTCCTCCCCCAACTTGAAAAAAAATAGTACATGAAAACAAAAAACCTATTCTAAAATACAATTTTAATTTAATGACATAAAAGCCAGTATCTTACAATAACTAAGTGTAGGATGTTTAAAAATCTAACGAAAGTTTTTTTTTCTTAGCTATATTTAATATATTCTCTTTTTCTCTCTTTATCTCTCTCTCTCTCTCTCTCTCCATATATATTTATATATATATATATATATATATATATATATATATATATATATATATATATATATATATATATATTCTTTTGATGAAACTATATATATATATATATATATATATATATATATATATATATATATATATATATATATATATATATATATATATGTATATATATATATATATATATATATATATATATATATATATATATATATATATATATATATATATATATATATATATATATATATATATATATATATATTCTTTTGATGAAACTACGAAACTAAAAATTAGATAAATGTTTTTATTAAAATAAATATATATATGTATATATATATATATATATATATATATAGGTGAGATTGACTATTTTCTGATTGGTGTTAAATTACAAACAAATATTTTAGTCAAAACAATAGAGACCTTTAAAAACAAAGATAAAGCATTAAACTTTTATTGAAGAACAAACCATGCTATTTCTATTTGATTTTAAAGTAATCGTAGAATAAACTTTTTGTTTTATTAAGTAATAATGAACGCAGTGAAAACAGCTTTATTGATAGTTTCTTCAATCGCTACTATTACAAATGCAGTTTCTTTGTTTTTTTTATACAGAAAACACAAAAACAACTACGTTATATTGTGTATCAATTTATCTCTTAGTGATTTAGTCCGAAGCATTGCAGGTTATATACCAGCTCTTTTTCTTGAAACAAATTTGAATAGAGCTTCAACATTGTGTAAATTATCTGCCTTTTTTATCGCTTTTTCTTCATTTACTACGATTGCAATGCTCACTGCAATAGCTCTTTCAAGAATGATACTACTAAGTACATGTTTTCTTCACAGTCAAATTAATTACAAAACACTTTTCATTAAAATCGGATTCTTTGCGTGGATTTATGGTTTTACGTGGGCCGTAATGCCATTTTTTGGATTTTCTTCCTACACTCTGGAAAATACATGTACTCGATGCTCAATTGATTTTTTTCCTAAAACAAAAGTTGAGAAAGTTTATTTGATCTTATTGATTGCATTTGGTTTTTTAATTCCCATCATAACAATTCTATCTTCATGTTTATATACAGCCAATGTGATGCGTTCACAGTATAACTACTTTTATATGATATATGGCAAAAATAATGTGGAAACAAAAAAATATAAAGTAAAGGAAAAGAAAGCATTTTCTTCATTTATACTTATGGTATTATCTTTCGTAGTCTGTTGGACACCCTACGCAACAGTTGGTTGTTTTTCTGCTTTTACGTCACTTGAAATTCCAAAATGGCTACTTCACTTCGCTCCTTTTTTCGGAAAATGTTCTGCTTTAGTAAATCCTATTATTTATTGTTGGAAAGATAGTCTATTGAGCTGGTATATAAAAAGTAAAAGATCGCTAATTATAAAGTTACTCTTTAAAAGGAGTGAAGATAATTTATTTACCTGCCAAATTGAAAAAATCTAAATTATTAATTGGTTTTATAACAAGCATATTTTCGCGTATTTAAATAAATGATTTCCATTTAAAATGTATATATTTTTATATATTTTACGCATATTGTTTTGTTAAAAATTTTACTTTATCAGGCCCCTACTTTTAAAATAATTTGTCACTTTTTGGTGCCCTAAAATCAACGTTTTCATTGATATAATTCACTTTAAAAACTTATATTTTAGTATTTCAAATATTTTCTTTACACAATATTGGTAAAAAGTTGACTCAATTTTCAACGGACGCAAGTCAAAGTTACTTGAAGTAAGATCATTTTAAGCTAAGTTTGTTTATGTGTTCGAATATTAAGTAAACTTATAGTTTTAAATATAATGAGTATATTTGTTTGTTCAAACATCTAGTAAACTTATCCAGTCAAACATCTAGTAAACTTATCCAGTAAAACATCTAGTAAATAATACTATTGTAAAAACAATTACGAAAAATAAATAGCTTATTGTGTTTTTTGTTGTTGTTGTTGTTGTTGTTATTGTTGTTGTTGTTGCTTTTGTTGTTGTTAGTGTTGTTGTTGTTGTTGTTGTTGCTATTGTTTGTGACGTTAGAATAATAGGGTTCAGTATCCCATTTGTAATGTTGAAAAATTTTACCAAACTTTGTTATACTCTCCTAAATCTTTATAATAAAAATTTGTTAAAATGTTGTTTAAAATTGTTGTTTAAAATGTTAAAAAAGCTCTATCAGTTGCTCTCCCAATTTAAAAAAAAAATTTAATTATCTGTTTTTATTTATTATATTGTTTTTATGTTCAAAATAATATAATTTTAATATATTAATCTTATAATTATTTATATAATATTTAAAAACGAATGTTTTTGTTTTTTCTTTTTTATTTCAACCTCATTAAATAATGTTGGAAAAACATTATTAACAAATAATTTCTAAACAAACAGTTTAAAGATCATAAAATTAATAATATAAAGTTAATAATATAACAATAATTACAATAAAAACACATAAATTATCAATATAAGTAACAACAGCTGTATAATAATTTTAAATCATCAAAAATCAAATGTTAAATTCTCTAAACGTTAAAAAATAGAGAACCCAATTATTTCATCACGTGTTCTGTTCACGTGACTGTTCTATAAAAAAATAGCAGAAGTTTATACTTTACATGATATAGGCTTTTCCAAGTTTTAACAATGTGTTAACATATTAAAGTATTGCGTGGGACAAACAATTAAATAAAACACAAAAATCACAAAAAACAAATCACAAAAATCAAAACTGTAGCGAATAAAATGACGTTTGCTAGGAGTCGGTCGCAGAGGTCGTGTAGCAAAAAAACTTTTTCTGATCGAAGTTTACAAACAGAAACAATAAAAGTGGACTAAAACACAAAAATTGGTCACCAGATGACTGGAGTAATGTTCTAGGTTGGTGAATCAATGTTAAAATTTTGCAGCAATAAACGTTGGTCTTTTCTTTGCTGTTGATCTGGAGCAAGAATGTTAGATGAGTGGTTAAACTCAGGGGTGCAACATTAAAGTTTAGGGTTGTTTTGGAGGGTGCCAAATTCAAAGATTTAAAAGAAGTAAAAATGAAGAAAAATATGACAAAAAACATCTACTTGCACATTTTTTAGAAATATGTTATAGATTGGGAAACAGATCTTATTCTCAAGTTGCAAACAATATTAGCAGAATATTGGCGCGATATTGGGTATCTTAGCGAATCTTGGCCAAGATATCCAATATTGCGCCAATATTGTCAAGCAATATTACGCTAATATTGCCTTACCAATAATGGCAAACAATATTGCGCCAATATAATCCCATTATTGTCTTTCTAATGTTAATAGGCCAATATTTGCGAAATATTATTTGCTTTATTGGTAATAAACGGCCATTGTTGACATTTTTACATATTGGTACATGCATTTGGAATATTCATAATGTCCATTAGTTCTGTTAAATATAAAATATAACATCTTTTTACATAAACAGACATCCTTATGTTATTAATTTTTTATAAAAAAAAAATCAGATTTCAAAATAAAAATTTTAAATTATGAAAAGAGGAGAAGTAGGAAAAGTATTTTCAACATTTACAGAGTAAATCAGGAAAAGAAGTGTTGGAATTTATTTTGAAACAGATTGAAAAGATTGAAAATTTTGAAAAAAATCACGAGAAGAAGTGGTAAGAGTAATGAAATCCTTTTATTCAAAATTTACAGATGAATCACGAGAAGAAGTGGTTGAAATTGATTTAAAACAAATTGCATCACGAGAAAAAAAGGAAAAATATTGCTATATTATAAGTATCTAGATTAAAATAGTAAGTTTACTCTTAAATAAAAACACTTTGAGAAGATTTCATCTGTAAAATAAAAGTTTTATAGTATATTTTGTTAAAAATATTCATTTAAGAAATAAATATCTTATTATTATTGTTTCTAACTGTTATAAGCAGGGGTGTGGAGTCGTAAAAAAAAGTAACGACTCCGACTCTGACTCCAGTTGTTGAAATTTTTTAAGTACAGCTCCGACTCCGACTCTAACTCCAACTCCGACTCCATCTCTAAAGCAAAATTTTTGAAAAATTCTTTGAATTCTTTAAAAAATATAACGCGATAAGTTAATAATTTCTTTTTCGACAAATTTATGAAACATTCTTTGAGGTTTAGTATGAATATAAGGTTAATTGAATGTTTTGTACATGCACGTGCAATACCTAGAAATTTTACTATTGGAGTCGGAGTCGCGATTTTGTTAAGCAACTCCGACTCCGACTACTCCGTTAAAAATATCGCGACTCCGCAACTCTGACTCCGACTCCGACTCCAATTCCACAGGCCTGGTTATAAGGTCTTATTATCCAAAAAAGGCACCCATGCTTGACACCTAATAACATCAATAATATACATTCATATATATTATTAATGTTGTTAATATATATATATATATATATATATATATATATATATATATATATATATATATATATATATATATATATATATATATATATATATATATATATATATATATATATATATATATCATTGACCTTCACACACACACACACAGATTTAAATTGAACAAATTGTTTTGTAAGACAGATGTCCGGAAAAACTTTTTTAGTATGCAATTCACAAATTTGTTGAATAGTCTACCATCTGTAATATTGTGTACAACATCTGTCACAATGTTTAAAAAACATCTAGATGCATATATATTATAAAAGAATTAAATCAAATCATGAACTATCTTCTTCACTAAGGATAGTATCATCTTCAGTCGCATTACAGAGTAGTGTTTTTTTATAAAAAAGGGAAGAAATAGGAAAAATTTAGACCACAATGTTTTGAATTAAATAATTGTGTTAAACTTGTTAAGAAAGACGATGTTTTTTGTCTTCTAAGTCTTCTAGGAGTAGAAGGCAGAATACTTGCTATTTATAAAACACTACTCTGTAATGCCACTGAAGATGATACTAACCTTAGTGAAGAAGATAGTTCATAATTTGATTTAATTCTTTTATAATATATATGCATCTAGATGTTTTTTAAACATTGTAACAGATGTTGTACACAATATTACAAATGGTAGACTATTCTACAAATTTGTGAATTGCATACTAAAAAAGTTTTTCCGGACATCTGTCTACAAAACAATTTTTTCAATTTAAATCTGTGTGTGTGTGTGTGTAAGTGTGAAGGTCAATGATATATATATATATATATATATATATATATATATATATATATATATATATATATATATATATATATATATATATATATATATATATATATATATATATATATATATATGTATATATATATATATATATATATATATATATATATATATAAATAATATTAATAAAATTACACAGTATCCTTATAAGGATACTGTGTAATTTTAGCTCAGAATGGTAACTAAATGCAACTACTTCTAGCTTCTGTCTGAATTAATAACAAGTTTTTTTGCTTCACTGGTTTTAAATGTTTTTTTGCTCATGACAAACCTTTTGACTACTGATTTGAGTCCAGACCAATCCTGCCCATAAACCATGATTTGCCCACTAAGTATGAGTATGTATTCATTAGGCTTAAAAAATTTGGTCTCTTTTTTTAATATCTAACTGAACTTGACCAAACACACGATCAGCTGGCAGATATGAGTGACCTCGTTCCGGAAAGTATTAGTACGCATTTTATTAAAATATTGTTTTCTTAGAGCGAAAAACATACATTTTATATTTATGTTTTTGTTCTGGCCATAGCATGCATAAGAAAACAGCCAAAGTGACGAGGCGTTGAAAAATTTATCTTTTAAAACATTTTTAAGTAGATGTTCTATAGCTGAACAGATCATATTTGAATCTTTCCTATTCTTACACTCCATCCAAGTAAAAAAATATATATCGTTAACAGACTGAGACTTATCACCTTTATAAATAACAACACCAAGGACATGAATTAAAGCTGCCTAGAATAGTAGGCTTCTCCAATTGATAACTTTGGTTGTACAAGGTTCTCCATCATGTCAAAACAGATAGTGATCTCATTGGGATGAATATTATTGAGAAGACAAAAAAATATTCTGGCTTTCCTTCAATGAAGAATGAAAAGAGCAGTTTTTAATTTTTTTTGGTCATCCATATAATTTTGGTTTTTCATAGCCAGCTTATATGTTTGACATGCAGAGCATGTATCTGTGCTGGGTATCCAAAGGCTAAATTGAAATTGTTCATAAATACCCCATATTAATAATGGTAGCCTACAGTATAAGTAATGTTTTTATCCAAAAAAAGTTTGTACGTCCGCTTTGCATTTAAATCAGAGGGCAAATATTTACATCCTGGAGCACCTTTTCTTCCATAATGACTTGCTCTGCAAGTAAAAGACTGAATATGGTTTTTAATAGCTTCTTTTTTTCAAAAAAAGCTACTTTCTTCCTGTCTCCTCCTCTATTTTCAGAAAAAGCTACTTTCTTCCTGTCTCCTCCTCTATTTTCAGGTCTGGTTGTTCC